AATTTAAAAATATGTTAAGAGGCCAGGGTTGTGGCTCAGTGGTAGAGTGCTTGCCTAGCATGTGTGAGGCATTGGGTTCATCCCCAGCACCATGTAAGCAAATAAAATAAAGGTTAAAAAAAAATGGACTTTAGGGGCTGGGGATGTGGCTCGAGTGGTGGCGCGCTCGCCTGGCATGCGTGCGGCCCGGGTTCGATCCTCAGCACCACATACAAACAAGGATATTGTGTCCGCCGAAAACTAAAAAATAAATATTAAAATTCTCTCTCTCTCTCTCTCTCTCTCTCTCTCTCTTAAAAAAATTGGACTTAAAAAAATGCTAAAATGTTAATATGTTAAAATGGTTAAAATGTTACACTAGAAAGTGTCCACTTACTACAGAAGAAGGTAGTAAAGGTGGAAAAGAGAAATAAAAACGCAGGCGACATGGGCTGGAGATATAGCTCAGTGGTAAAGTGCTTGTCTGGCAAGCCCATGTTCCGAGTTAGATTCTCAGCACCATTGAAATGAAGGAAGGAGGGGCTGGGGATGTGGCTCAAGCGGTAGCGCGCTAGCCTGGCATGCGCGGGGCGCTGGGTTCCATACTCAGCACCACATTAAAAAAATAAATAAAATAAAGATGTTGTGTCTGCAGAGAACTAAAAAATAAATATTCTCTCTCTCTCTCTCTCACTCTCGCTCTCTCTCTTTAAAAAAAAAGGAAGGAAGAAAAGACAAAAGAAAAGAAATATGAGGTATTAAAAAATAAAAAGAAAAATAGCAAATGTATGTCTAACTATATCTACAGTTAACTATGCTGATATCAGATGAAATAGATTTAGGAAAAAAAACTACTAAAGATTGATAAAAAGATTCAATCTCTTACAAAGATAATAAAACACTTATAAACATACATACCTAACCACAGATCCCCAAAATACAGAAAGCAAAACTGACAGAATTGAAGGGAAAAATAGAAAATTCAGCAATAATACTTAGGGACTTTAATACCTTATAATAATGGATAGAAAAACAAGGCAGAAGATTGATAATAGAAGACTTGAACAACAGTATAAATCAAGTAGAACTAACAGACAACTATAAAATGCTCCACCCAACAACAACACAGTGCAGAAGAAATGTGCATTCTGCTCAAGCGAGCTTGAAACATTCTCTAGCTTAGAGCATAAATTAGGCCATAAAACAAATCTCAATAAATTCAAAAGGACTAAAGTCATACAAAGAATGTAATCTGAATATAATTAAATTAGTAATCAGTAACATAAAAGAAGTTTGTGGAATTCACAAATAAGTGTAAATTGAACCACACTCCCAAATAACTAATGGGTCATTGGGAATGGTGGCACATGCCTGTAATCCTCAGGGAGCCTGAGGCAGGAGGATTGTGAGTTCGAGGCTACCTTCAGCAAGAGTAGTGAGACCCTGTCCCCAAATTTAAAAAAAGGGGGGCGGCTGGAGATATGGTTCACTGGTACAGCATCCTTGGGTTCAATCCCTAGTACCTCCACCCCCCCACACACACAAACCAAAAAGATGGGTCTGAGAAGATATTTCTAGGAAATTTTTAAAATACTTTGAGGGAATGAAAATGAAAATACTGTATACCAAAACATAGTATACAGGAAAATCAGTACTTGGAGAGACATTTCTAGATGTAAATATCTATTTTCAAAAGATGAACGTCTAGGGGCTAGGGGTATAGCTCAGTAGTACACATTTGCCTAGCATACATGAGACTCTGGGTTCAATCCCTAGCACTGTAAAAAAAACCCAAAAACCACATACACACAATACATATATTAACAAACTGAATTATTCAGCATGTTAAAGGTATTAAACATCACAACTAACTGGGATTTATTCATGGGATACAAAAAAATTGAATATCCAAAATAAATGTAATATACTATATTAATAAAATGAAGTGGGAAAAAACCACAGGCTCGTCTCAATTGATGCTGAAAACATTTGACAAAATTCAATACTCTTTCATGACCAAGAAATCATTTTTTCCAATAAACTAGGAATCGAAGGGAACTTCCTCAACATAATGAGCATTAACACCATACTCAAAAGTGAAAGACTGGGGCTGGGTTGTAGCTCAGTGGTACAGTACTTGCCTAGCATGTGTGAGGCACTGGGTTAGATCCTCAGCACCACATAAAAATAATAAATAAATAATATAAAGGAATTGTGTCCTCTACTATTAAAAAATATATTTTTTTAAAAAAGCGAAAGACTAAAAGATTTCTCTCTAAGGTCAGAAGACAAGGATACCCAAGGATATTTTACTACTTCTATTTAGCATGGTTCTAAAAATCCTAATCAGAGCAATTAGGCAAGAAAAATAAATAAAAGACATACAAACTGGAAAGGAAGAAGAAAAATGATCTGACATGTATAAAATCTAAAGAGCCTGGCATGGTGGTCCACCCCTGTAATCCCAGCAACTCAGAGGCTGAGGCAGGAGAATCTCAAGTTTGAAGCAGGTTTAGCAGTTTAGAAAAAGCCCTAAACAACTTAGCAAGACCCTGTCTCTAAATTAAAAATAAAAAGGGCTGGGAATGTGTTTCAGTGGGTAAACACCCAGGTTCAATACCCAGGACTACTGTACTACTACTACTGCTAATAATAATAATACTAAAAAGGACTGGGGATGTGGCTCAGTGGTTAAGCAGCCATGGGTTCAATTCCCAGTACCAAAAAAGAAAGAAAAGAATGAAGTAGTAAGACATGGCATATCATGGATGAACCTCAGAAAATTTGTTAAAGTGAAAGAAGGCAGAGCCAAAAAGAGTGAGAGAGATTCCATTTATGTGAAAGATTTATGTAAAAGGTCTGGAATAGGTAAATCCATAGAAGCAGATAGTAGAATCATGGTATGTAAATTAGTTCTAAAAAAAAAAAAGATGTCAGAAAGAACATCTGAGCCTGTAACTCCCATTATGCAATATTTATTTCTAAATTGTAAGCATGTACTACTGCTCTAATGTATTTATTAAACATTCACAAAATTAGAAAATAAAAAGTGATATTTAAATTGAAAATAAAACCAGTATGGTGTTGCACACCTGTAATCTCAGTGACCCAGGAGGCTGAGATAGGAGGATCAAAAGCTCAGAGCCAACTTCAGCAATTTAGCAAGGCCCTAAGCAACTTAGTGAGACCCTGTCTCAAAATAAAAAATGAATAGAGCTGGGGATGTAGCTCAGTGGCTAAATGCCTCTGGGGTAAATCCACAGCACCAAAAAAGAAAACACTTACCTATAAAACAGATGATGATATCAACAATGCCTTTCATTGCTGGGAGTTAGATCAGTAACACAACTCACCCCTACCCTGCAACTACTACATGAGCTCATTGTACGTGCCAGGTTCTCGCTTTACATAATCAACTGCCTAACAATCATGCACATAAATATTCCTATCATTATCATTTTTTTTCCAATGACAAAACTGAAGATTAAAACAAAACAAAACAAAAAAAAAAAACAAAGAAAGCTGGCACAATGGACCAAAGTCCCAGCTACTCAGGAGGCTAAGGGAGGAGGATTGGCCCAGGCTTGGAAAAAAGGAAAAGAAAAGGGAAAGGGAAAGGAGAAGAGCTTAAGGTGACCAGAAAAGTTGGTGGTAAGGCTGGGACTTAGCCTGGGAGCTCATGGCCTCCAAACCCTAATCTCACTCTCTCAAAACTCCAAAACAAAGTGCTTCTTCAGAAACATACCCAGAAGGTCAGTTCCTGGGAAACATGTCTTCTGGTTGTTTGCCATTTCATAGAAGATAAAAATGTTCCTACAAGGGGGGCTGGGGATGTGGCTCAAGTGGTAGCGCGCTCGCCTGGCATGCGTGAGGCCCGGGTTCGATCCTCAGCACCACATACAAAGATGTTGTGCCCGCCGAAAACTAAAAAATAAATATCAAAAAATTATCTCTCTCTCTCTCTCTCTTTAAAAAAAAAAATGTTCCTACAAGGATAGAATTTGAGTTAAAACTCAAGGACAAACTCAACCAATTTTGATTGGAAATTCAAAACTCATGAGTTCCTGGGGCAAATTCAGAAGCACAAGCTTCCCAAAGCAGTGGGGAAAACTACAAGACAGGGAAGAAATTCAGGAACAGGACACGATCAGTAGCCAACATTAAGCACTGTGTAGAATAGTGTTTGGCATGTACTAGGGGCTCAATAAAGATTTGTTGAATAAATGAATGTCCCCCACCCAAGCACTATCCTGTCCTGGAGAAACAGAGCTGGGCTGCACTAGAAAAAACATTCAAATTTCAAACACGAAGCTGTTAATAGGAAGAACTCCTAAGAGAATAGGACCACCCCACTCAGGTTTAGGATTTAGCCTCTGAAGGGACATAGGCAACATATACTAATGTAGGACACCATATGGCACCAAGAAGGTAGGCAGGATGCTGGCTGCAAATGACTAATCATGTTGCAAGTGATTCTACTACTGGTAAACCTCTGCAAGCAGTCTTCTGCTCAGATGATTATAAATCTGAACAAAGCAACCTTCAGAAAGTATGAATAAGGAAAAGAGCCAGGTACAGTAGTGCACACCTGTAATCTCAGCTATTTGGGAGGCTGAGGCAGAAGGACAGCAAGTTTGAAGAGCCACATTAGGCAATTTAGCAAGATTCTGTCTCAAAAAAACAAAAAGGGCTGGGGATACAGATCAGTGGTAGAGCACTTGCCTGGCATATGTGAGACCCTGGGTTCAATCTCTAGTACTGCAAAAAGAAAAAAAGAAGGAAGAAGAGGGCGCAAGAGGGGAAAAGAAGAAAAAGAAAAGGAAGGGAATTCACACCCACCTGCCAGGGAAGAAAAAAAAAATTCCAAAGGACTCTTTAATCCAAGACATGACCCTGGCCAGAAAGGAAGATAACAGCATGGAAGCTTTCTAGAGTCCAGAGGCTGAAAGTGATTTCAAAATCACTGATTTCTCCCTGCAGGGTGCTGCTGTAGCTCAAGGTACCCTCAAAAGTTAAGTGGGGTGCTCATTTTGGCAGCACATAAACTAAAATTGGAACAATACAGAAAATATCAGCATGGCCCCTGCCCAAGGATGACACGCAAATTCAAGACACATTCAATATTTTTAAGCTTGTGAATGGAAATATGTAGTACCCAACCAACATTCCGCTTTAAAAAGTAATAAATGCAGACAAGTTAAGGAAAAAAAAAAGTTAAGTAGGTGTCCAGCTAGAACAGAGGTTGGAATGGTTTGCCTGGAGACACCCGGGACACAGAAATGATCAACAGCCTCAAGAAGCACCATGGATTGCTCCAATTCTGGAAGGGGCAGTGAGACAAAGTTATTTGAGACAAAAACTTCATATTTTTTTGGAAAATGGGAAATGAGAATTGCTAAGTGAAAAAAGCAAGTTGCAAAGTAATGTATTCAGTATGATCCTATTTCTACAAGTGTGTGTGAGAGCTGAGCGTAGTAGCTCATACCTATAATCCCAGCAGCTCAGGAGGCTGAGACAGAAAGATTGCAAGTTTGATGTCAACCTCAGCAATTTAGCAAGGCCCTATGCAACTTAGAGAGAACCTGTCTCAAAATAAAAAATAAAAATGACTGGGAATGTGGCTCAATGGTAAGACTCCCCCAAGTTCAATACCCAGTACCCAACCCCCAAAATATATGTGTGTGTATACAACAGATTTCATGAATATAAATGCATAGAGAAAGATCTTTAAAATATCACAAATATAAAATATGCACAAAAAAAGTTATAATGTGGAAAAGGAAGGGGAAAGTTTTACTCCAGATGTGACTGGATTGTTTGAGTATTACACAAAGAAGGTATTTGTGTCTTACTTGTCTAATTTTTTTCATTTGTAAGACAAAAGAAAATTATTCAAGAAGAGGCTCATTAACATAGTTAAAATTCAATAGTACCTGGACATGTTAGAGCTCAGGAAAGTAATATAAAAAAGGGATACTAAGGAAAGAGCATCAGTACAAAGACAAAAGCCACAATGGCAACAAGAATCTTGCTCAGAAAAAAAAAAAAAAAAAAGAATCTTGCTCAGGCAAGATGGATGAGAATATAGTAAACTTGGGCTGGAGTTGTGGTTCAGTGGTAGCGCGCTTGCCTAGCATGCATGATGCACTTGGTTTGATTCTCAGCACCACGTACAAATAAATAAAATAAAGGTCCATCAACATCTAAACAATATTTTTAAAAAAAGAATATAGTAAACTTGCTCCCCATACCCAGTCATGCTAAGCAACCACACAGTTAGTACTGTGGTCAGTGGTGTTATGGTCACCTGAGGGAAACTACCATGTGCAGGCTTTTCTGCTCCCATGCCATGGATACACCTCCAATTTCTCCCCTCCATGTCTCCTTTGGGAAATCAGCCAGACCAATGGGGTCAGTCCTGGGGGTTTCTGTTACATCTGTCTAGAGGTCTGGCCTTGAATTTCCAAAGATGTGTAGCCAAACTAGTAAGGAAGACCTCACTGTAGGCCCTGTCAAAGACTGGTATGATGAAGGCTATTGGGTTTGTTCCAGGGTGCCCTTGTTACATATTTGCTTAGAGAAGGAGATTAGAGAAGCATCCAGCAGAACAAACCAAACCTCCAGTTTCAGGGCAAACACCTGGACCCACTTATTGTTAAGATTTCTCCACAGGAATGCCACAACTTGCTATGGCCCACCCTGAGTCTCATCCCTCCCCAATGTTTCTTGGAAAGTTTGTGCCCTTAAGAAGCCTGGTGGGTGAGCCCCGGGACCTGTAGATGACTTCTTAGCACTGCTTTGCCATGAGAAAAGAAGGGAAGAGGCCCTTCCCTGCACCAACCTCCAGCACCAACCTTTTGGATGGCTATGGTTTCAATGTTTATATCCCTCTCAAATTTATGTTGGAACTTAAACACCAATGCGAGAGTATTAAGAGTGCTAGAAGTTGATTAAATGAGGGTTCAGGGGCTAGAATTGTGGCCCAGCAGTAGAGCACTCAACTAGCACGGGCAGGATCCGGGTTCAATCCTCAGCACCACATAGAAATAAAGGCATTGTGTTGTGTCCATCTACACACAAAAAAAATAAATAAATATTAAAAAAAAACAAACATGAGGGTGCAGCATTCATGAATGTGATTAATGACCTTATACCAGGGCTGGAAAGAATTAGTTAGGCCCTTTTATGCCCTCCACCTCCAGCCATGAAGAGACAACATTTGCCCCTTCTGGAGGATGCAGCAAGAAGATGCCATTTTAGAAACATAGAACAGCCCTCAATAGACCCTCAACCTACTAGATCTTGGGTTTTAGCCTCAAAAACTAAGAGAAATAAATTTCTGTTTTTTTCAGTCTCAAGTATTTTGTTATAGCAACAAAAAGAGACTAAGACATGGACTAAGGCACAGACACAGGCAAAGTTTCCATGGCGTAGTGAGGGTATGCTCTTAGAAGAAAATGGGACCAGAGGCCAGGACCTGGCTAGGGAGCAAAAGAAGTTGGAGATTCCAAGATAGAAAAGAGCAAGCAAGCTCTTTAGTGATCCTGGAGCAAAAGAAGAGGCACAGAAACAGGGTACTGAGGGAAATAGTGCTGCTATTAAAGACACTGTCAAAGCTCAAGGCTACTGGTATATGTTCTCTTGTTGAACAAGCATAAAATCAAGCTTAGGAGCCCTCCTTCACCATTTGAAGTACATGACCTGACAATCACCCTAGGCCACCTAGGCTTTTCTTTCCCACCTGACTACCAAGATCTCCAAAATGTAAGACAGAGTCAAAAGGATGTAAGGGGAGATAGGGATGTAGCTTAGTGGTAGAGCACCTTACTAGAATGTGCAAGGTTGGGAGTTCAATCCTCAGCAACACAAAAACAAAACATTAAGAAAGAAAAAGCCTGCAAGTAGAACAGGTTTTAAAGGAGTGCTTTTTTTTTTTTTACTAGAAATTGAACTCAGGGGCACTCGACCACTGAACCCCATCCCCAGCCCTATTTTGTATTTTATTTAGAGACAGGGTCTCACTGAATTGCTTAGTGCCTTGCTATTGCTGAGGCTAGTTTTGAATTCACAATCCTGTCTCAGCCTCTCAAGTCACTGGGATTACAGGTGTGCACCACCACACCAGGCTAAAGGAATGCTTTTACACACTGGTTAGCACAAGGATCCTATAAATTACTGGTGAACAGTGACTTTCCACTTAGTAGGGGAACCTGGGGAAGTAATCCCCCCAGCCAGCAGTCACACCTAACAATGCCTTTCTTTATTCCTGTGACCCCTGGCTAGGGAATAGCTATAGGGGACATAGGAGGTAGTCCCAACAATTGCAGCAAGATATTCTGCTGGAAATAGGCTGTGTGTATTATTTCCAGAACATGCCCCTTTGTTCCCATCCATGTTTCTGGTTCATTTTCCACTGAAAAGGAAACTTGCAAAGCTTTTAATAAAAAATCAATTCTTTTTCACCACTAAGCTATTTATCCTGGAAAGAAGACATAAATGTAGAGAATGTAGAAACATTTTAAATTATATATCATACATTACTAGACATCAGAGAAAACACACTGGAGAGAAGCTTTACAAATGAGACCATTGTACCATTCCTCTAAGAAAGAGTCAACATTTAATCCTCACCACAATAACCCTAGAAGAGACAAAGTTTTGAAATGTGAAAATTGACAATGTGACAATGCCTCCAAAATTTATTCATCAATACTCAGCACCTGTGGATACATACTGGTTAGAGAGAATACAAATGGAAAAAAAAAAAACATTTCATAACCACATGTTTCTTAAACACTACTGATTTTTGGAGAAATCATTGTGCCCAGAAACCCTAAAAAGTTAAATAATATTTTGAAAACTTATTCAAATTTTAAATTCATTGAACATCTGAAAACTCATACTAGTAGTGAACATTGAACAGATTTTGTCCAAAATGTATGCCTTATATAAAAATGAAACATTTATAATAAACACTTTGACAAAAAAAAAAAGAAAGAAAGAAAAGAAAAGGAAACTTGCTTCTTTCAAGATGATCATCAGAGCCTTCACATGTGTGGTTCCTTCTGCCTAGAAGGCTTGGCCCCCTTGTACCTTCACCTACCTTCCTTGACTCCTGCTCAATCTTCAGACACACCACACACACATCCCCACCTTGCATCACTTTCTCATCCCTGGTTAGCAGAGGGATTAGCATTAGTGTTAGCACTAATTCTCAGGGCTTCTGGTCCTCCTCCTTCAATGTATTTTGATCTGTGTGTAGTTAAAATCAGTCTCTCCCACTAGGCTCTTAGCTTCTTGAGAACAGGGCTGTACAGTTTTCTTCAGCATGATATCCTAGACACTGGCACCGTGCTGGCAAGGAGAGGATAACAAGTTTCCATGTATCTGAGTCCCTCAAGATGGTCTCCTGAGGTCTGTGTACCTGAGAGTAGTTGCCAATGAGGCACCTGGCAGAAGCTGTGTTATCAGCTGTCCTTCCCTCTTTCTTCTGTACGTGAGGTCAAAGGATGTGAGGAGGCCATAAAAAAAGAAAATTGAGTTAGATGATTGCAGTGTATACATCTTAATCCCAGCTACTCAGGAGGCTGAGACAGGAGGATTGCAAGTTCAAGGCTAGCCTGGGCAATTTAGTGAAATCTCTGTCTCAAAATAAAAAATAAGAAGGGCTGGCATGTAGCTCATTGGGAGAGCACTTGCCTAACATGCATGAGACCCTGGGTTTAATCCCCAGTACCACATAAAAAAGAAAGATTAAAAAAAAGTTGACCCCAGTAATGGGGAGGGTCTTGAAAGAGCAACCCAATCCCATCATCTATGAAAGCAGAGACTGGGATGGGCCTCAGGGTCAGCTCTAAACTAGGACAGCTGATTTCAGTAGGCAAACCCAGATTGAAAGACTACAGATCCTTGGGAGGTCATGTTAGAGGAGAATGAATAGGTCATGGGCAAAATAAACAGCTGTGGATGGTTTCCTGCTTCCTCATTTCTAGATAAAAACTACCCTTGGGTTCTAGCTGGGCATGGTGAAGCACATCTGTAATTGCAGAAAATTGGGAGTTTAAGGCAGAAGGATCATAAATTCAAGGCCAGCCTCAGCAACTTAGCAAGACCCTATCTCAAAATAAA